CCACAGTGTGTGTGCATGCGCAGTTTGAAATGGAACAGATTTGAACGCAATAAAGTCACGCGTAGAACTCGGGCTCCAGCAAGAAATTGTGGCGTCAAACTGGTTGTCGGTTGAATTCTTTTGCAATAGACATAATTTTGGAGCCTGTATTTGTCTATGAAATGTTTCTAAGTTTTGTTGAGGATTATTCTGTAAAGGAATGGCTGAAATTATTTTATCTGTTCGTAAACGGGACGTTGTTGCTTGACGATGCGCTACGGACGACTGACGTCGAAACGTCCCATTCAGATCAGATGGCGCCCTCTCGTGCCAATCCTCCCTGATACCATCCATATTTCCAAAAGCTTACGTTCGTATGAAATCTTAAGAAATTAATTTAAGACAGGGTGATCGGAGATCATAAGGATAATTCAAGATCTTATTCAATCCGAACCCAGACAGCTGTTCCACGCATTAATTTTTGTTTTTAACCCAAAGAAAGGCATTAGGATCAACCAAGCACTGGGTTTTTTAGTCCATTCTATTTCTTTTTATATCATTTCATTCATCAAACGAGGGGCTACTTTATAAAATAAGCCTTGTACCAATCGACTGGTACATTTTCCGTCAATATTATGGATGAGTGCACACTGTAAATCCATGTGTTTTAAAATATGACACATTTTTGTCCCCACTTTAAGTGATTTATAATTAAACACATTAAATGTTTTATCAAAATCGCAAATGAGTTATTTTACAACACTACTGTTTTAAAATAGAACATTTTTACTGTTTTGTGATAAAACATTTAAAGTGTTTATAAGCTTGTCCCACTTTAAAAACACTTAAAGTGTTTATAATCTGCATAATTGCGAGAAGTGTATATTACGAAAACACTTTTAGCGGAACATTTCAGGGATGTTTTTACCCATAACACATTAAAACACGTTTTTAAAAGTGTTTCCACCAAAAACAAGTATATAAACGTGTTTTTACTTGTCACACATTTCTAAAGTGTTTCCACCAGGAACTTGTATAAAAAACGTGTTTATTATCACACCACTTTTAAAAGTGTTTTACTAGACACACATTTTGTGAAGTGTTTCCACCAGGAACATGTATAAAAAGTGCTTATTATCACAACACTTTTAAAAGTGATTTTACTAGACACACATTTTGTAAAGTGTTTATAATCACGACACATAGAAAAATGTCTCAAATGTTTTAATAAAGTGATTTCACTAGCCACACATTGGGAATTACGAAAGCCGAGAAGGGACTTCCCACTTCGTACTTCCCATTTCTCACTTCTTACTTCTCACTTCCCATTTCTCACTTCTCATTTCTCATTTCTTACTTCTCGTTTTCTCACTTGCCAATTCTTACTTCTCATTTCCCACTTCGTACTTTCTCATTTCTCACTTCTTATTTCCTATTTCCAGTAGCTGCCCACTTTCCGTTCCACGTGACTAAGTTGAAAGGTCATACAGTATGCGAACGCGCAATTTCTGATGAACATGGCGACAAATGAACAGACGACGCAGCTGCGAAAGGTATGTATTTAGCACCTTTTACGCATATTTTCCCAGTATGAATATGTGTAGTTGGCACGCTAGTATAGACCACGTCGTGTAAAGTTGGACAAACATGACCAGAGTTGCAAAAATCGCGCATCTTACGTGTTACCACAATCGCTACATGGAGGGTTGAATAGATATGTGGACGGGTCACGTGAATTGACAGTAAGTTTACGTAGAAGTTCGTGCATGAAAGTTTCTCCATGGGAAATATTATCCAATTTATTAACATGTCAGTCCTTTGTCCCGAGGACACATCGGTGTGTAATGTCAATCGTGTAGAACTTAATCATCTGTACTTGTCATTCTGACTAGTGCCATTGGTTATGGAGGCTCATTTTATTACTTTGTGTTGTTTTGTGTTGTTTTGTGTTGTTCACTTGGAACATCGATGCAATTTGTGTTACTGTACTTGTCAAACGAGCATTAATACAGGCCACCCTGGAAAATGTGCTCATCTATAATTAGAGTGGTAAACATATTTTCCCTGTTTTGGTGTGGCGCCAATGTATTTAAATTATCTGGACTGGTTTGCTAGTAATTATCATAGACTAATTGTTTTTTTCTTTTTTTCTTAATTATTTTGTTTATAAATGGTGCCTCCTGAGTCTAAGGAAATGTGTCTCTCTTCATGTGTTCTTTCTACTCATTATTCTACACTTAGACCTGACCAGCAAACACCCCCCTTGCCCCCATTTTACACTGCCTGGAACGAAAACAATTTCTTCACACTTCATGTGTTCCTGGTTTAGTAAATGCATACTCATGTGTTTGTTTTGCAGCTGTTGTGTGAAATCTTTACAACAGAAAGAGGAAATACAATTTATGAAACTTTTTTGCAAGAACAGGTAAATGATCAAAGATGCACTTTTATGCAAAATGTAGTTTGAGTTATAATTTTCAATGTCAATAACTAAAGCTTGGATTAAAAGATAGTACCGTGCATCTCCATTAGAATTGCACCATTGCATTCATTGTATATTGTAATATACAAAGTTGGAGAAATTGTAAAGTTAAAATCTGCAATTAACAATGGTCAGCTTCAATTAATGTAATTCATTGCCCCCTCCCCCTTCCTGTCTTTCCTATCAAATATAGTTGACTATTATCCCATATTTAAAAACTATAGTCGTGTAACGAGATGTGTTGCAACCATAATTTTGCAATTCAAGTGACACCAGTACATAACTGATAACTGTGCATATAAACATAGTACTTCTATCCACAACTCTTAATCATTACCTTCATTTACTCATATCATGAACATATAGCTGCCAAGTCATATTTCACCATAACAATCTTATGTAGGCTCCAAGTATGACTTTCATTGAATTGAATAACAATGTTACGAGATATGCTCTAGCTCAGAATGCTTTCAAATTTGGTGTTTTGGTACTACCTTAGGAGGATCTCTCTCAGATTTATTCATTTTATGTCAAAATTGTGACATTGGATTTTTGCTGAATATTTCAAATCTTTCATTATGGTATCTTAGGTTGTCCCTCTGATTTGTCTAGTTGTGTTCATTGTTCAAAAACAGACTGTAATTAGATATTTTGACATATTGGGTGCCTGGTTGATTAGCTAATTTGCATAATAATTTCCATTTTTCAGTATTTTTCCTAATTACTTGAACATTCCTTAATTATATCTCATCAAAACTTGGTAGGTACATGTGTTAGAATATCACACAGACAGATAGTGTAATTGTGCATATGAATATTGATTAGGTAATTTGCATATCAATTCTTTAGTCAATTTAATCAACATTTATGATCAGAACTCATAAAAACTTGGAAATGTGTTAAGGTATTGTACTGACCACAAAGTATTATGGTGCATACCCTGTAATAATAATATTTTTTTAGACATGCTTTGACTGATTTTTCTGCAAATTTGGTAAGTTTGAACAAACTATAGGGGTAACATTAAGAATATTGTATTACGTCAGTGCTTTATTTCTCACCAAACAATGCCACAAGATACTACAAATAAATGCAACAGGCTTTATAATAAAGTTTACATTAACCAGTAAACCAGTGAATTACAATATCAAAATAATTTAATGTCGATTTCTATATTCTCTGGCCATATTTTCCATTGACGCAAGTTATTTATGAGAATTTTGAAACACCTGTATACATTTTCACTACTGGCTCATACTCA